TATANACACACACACACAATATATATATATATATATATATATATATATATGGCGAAGTATATGTGTCCCTATATACGCGAAAACACTCCAGGTCCGAAATACATTCAAAAAAATAACTGTGTAATTGTGTATCTTACAGACTCTCGTATAAACAATTCACTTCAACACTCACCATCTCCGGCAACCACCACGTGACAAAGGTCGCAGAACCTTTTTGCTTCTTCATCCATATCCATTGTTCTCCTGAAGTATTCTAAAAGAATCTGGAGGGGAATGATTACACTGACTCTAGTTTTGTCACTGTAAATATTTGTTCCAAACTCGCCGTTTGCTTCGTTGTGTACGTGACGCGTACGTGTTAAAGAAGTATAGACAAAATTTACGCGAGGACAATGACAGGACATGGGTTTTTTAATCTCTCTTTATAGTACAAACGGCAACACAAATATTTAAAACTGTAAATACACAAATAAATAAAAAGAAACCGCCAATATTCTTGAAGCCTTTTATAGATGTATTCGGCATTTGTTCAACACACGCGAAATAAGACATGTACACGCGGAATAACGCGTTGTGTGGGTTTGTGGACACAGGTGACTGGGGCCCTGGGGCCCTGGGATGACCACTGCGACCGGCCGAGGGCCCGAGGTTGCGAGCCGAAAAATCTGATGACTCCCCTGATAAATGTTGCTCGGAGTACACGTGCACTATTATGAATAGATAAACTGGATATAAGTATGGGTGTATTAAAAATCGACTATAGACTAGTGTATACTGTAGACGGTGTATGTACGCGTACACGATAACCACGCACAAGCAGCGACACTTTAATATAGAGACATAGATATATATACATTTATACAGTTGAAACCAAGAGTACGCTATAATGGTAAAGCAGAAACGTCCCGCATGGCGGAAAGGACAATCTTCTGCATCCAATCCAGTAGGCAACAAACACAGGGCCAAAGCAAACCAGAAACTGCGTATACCTGAACATCTACGCACAGCTCAGGGCGCCAAAGACAACAGCAAAGCTAAGAATGAGAAGTTCCGATGGAATCCACAACCTAAAGTAGCCAAATTAACGGAGGCCAATCTGACTAAGCACACCTTAGATACATTGAGCGCGGGCGACGATGATGTGTCGAGTATCCAAACTATGAAGGACGTTTTCGCAAAAGTCAACAGATTTGCTAATTCACCGTTAGAATCTCATCTAGAGGCAGTCGCGGTGCTAGAATGTGTCAAAGAGGCTATTAACGAGGAAGGGGGAGAACATACGGAAACTGCCTACTATGGTACCCTGGTATGTCTCGATTCGGCAGAATATGTTTGTATCTGATTTCCACTGTATATGAGGAGTAGCATTTTGCGTTCGGGTTGGGAGCAATAGGAAATTGCTCGAGCATATAGCTGTATAGATGTGCTCGATGCATATATATATATATACTTGTACATACACTGATGCATACACTTATGTATACATTTAGGCATATACATATACATAAATAGACATATATAAATACCTACACATACACATGTATATAAACATATGCATACACATACACCTATCTATATACATACACACATACATGTACATGTAACACGTGTCATGTAATATGTAGTATGTACATATACATTTACATGTACATGTATATATACATGTAAGTTTACATATACGTAGTGTCATGCATAAACATGAGCGTATACACAACGTATACGTATGTACATGTACATACATACACATGCAAACACACATACACATATACATGCACATACTCGCGTGTACTCAAATATACACATATATACACAGTTATATGCATATATTACATACATATATAATGTATATCCATACATATATACAAATGTAGGCACATAAACACACTTACACACGCGTGTGTATATATATATATATATACAAACACACGCAAACACACACGCACATATATTTATATATATGTGCGTGGAATATATATATACATACATATATACATACATACATACATAAATACATACATACATATATATGTATATATATATACACACACACACACATATGTATATATACATACATTCATACATATTTTATATATATATATATATTTATGCAAATATAACGTTTAGTTCCAAGTTTGAGCTCAGCACTCACAGATACGTGGTTTTATAGTTACACACATGTATACGTCAACATGTTCCAAATAATGGCACGCATCCTGTATCTTGTATCAGCTAATTACTCTACCGAGTATCGTTGATAAATCACGTTTTGGTCAGATATATTTCACGTGTAGAAAGAGTGCTTATCATTTTACCGATTTACTCAGAAAACATCATTGTACAAATATGTTAATGTGTATATTTATATATTTTCATTCTCGAACTTTCTTCCGGATTTTATTCCAAGTTGCGCGTGTGTACTTGCAGCGGTTATAACTATTACGAATAGTCCAGTGAAAGATCGAGTATTTGCGGACGCATATATTTATCCTACTAGTGTTTGTCTGCAAATGTGAAATCAATTCTCAATCTTGGGTGCTTACATGTGTATACGAGTAAGCATTTCTCTGTAATGATGCGAAGTATATTTTGTCGCGGCGTTTCGTTTTCAAAGTTGAAGATATTGTTACTTAATTAGGCATGTGTGTCGCATTTGTTGAATTCCTTGAGCTATCACAAAGGTGTACGGGGGAATCCAAGGTGTATACATTTTGCCATACCATGACAACCATCAGCATTATTTTAACATAATTCAAACGCTGGGTCATATCAAGCTCATCCACTAACACGTCTTTTAATAGCAACTAGTATTGTAAGTCTATTGTCCGTAGCCTAGCCATGTGATATGTTCATCAATCCTATATAAGCACTGCATCCGTGTTCGCCTCTTACAGCTGGTTATAGTATAGTCTACAATGTGGGGAGATTTACATGCATGTTACACACATAGTAGAATATTGTTCTGCTTTAGATATATATAATTATAACTCATCCTCAATTGTGACTTTGGTGTATATATATATTATAGAGTTGGTAACTTGATGGTGGGAGTGACTTGGTCTCGCATGTTTTGAGTAGGTCACGGAACTATAGTAATGAGTTTTGTGCTAATTTGGTATTCAAAATTAGGCGGTAGCATGGCGTGTGTGTGTTTGTATGTATGGAGGGGTCTGAGGTGTGGCTTGTTGAGTTGTCATGCTAACGTATTATACTAACAACTGGTTATAATGCCATGTTGATTGTATTGCAGCTGTATTAAAGTCTATTGAGTTAAGAATCGTGGCGTTTGGGCGTACGTATGGTAGGGCGTGGAGGGCGAATACGATTTTTGTTGTGCCTGGAGTACTTAGTTTGGAAAAGGTGAGTACTGTGGCGATAGAGTTGGGTCAAATGGTCATGCTTGCCAAGGCACTCATATTGCAATCTTCCTTCCACTCCGACACATTAAGTCATGGAGGCGCGTGCCGCTGTTAATGGTTTCGTGAAGGCGTCGATGTACAACTGCAGTTTATTTTATAGATGATGTTCTTCTTACCACGACCCTGCTTTTGCTGCTGCAGATGACGCTAATGGACCAGCACAAAGCCAACGAAGAGGCAATCAGCGCTCTGGCCGCTGTGTGCTACCTGGTTTCGCTCGTACTCCCGATGTAAGTCGATATCGATATGACACCCAGCTATTCGTAGGTGTATGGTGCAGTTTCTCTAAGTCCCTAAAGTACGTTGTCTATGTGGCTGTAGGCCATGTGTATTATATAATAATCATGTCTCAAAGTATACCGTGTTAAAGATTCCGCAAACACTAACTGTAGATGCTGCTTGTCCTCCGGCTCATCAACCGTCTAAAATCCTGTCCTACCTACCTGCCACACAGCGTTCCTGTCAATGTGCAGAGATCCAGTTTCTTCCAATCCGCCGATGTTATGGCGTCGTGCCTACACCTGCACACTACCACGGGCACCACGTCCATGAACAAGGCACTGGTTGAGTCTCTGGGTGTGCTTCTGGTGGCCCAGGAGCCGTCTGTGTGGTCTGAACCGGCCACGGGCAAGATGTTCAATTTGCTGTTACAAACCACCGCCGATCCTCGGCCAAAGATTAGACACAGAGCTGTGGACACCTGCGCGCGTATCCTCAAGAACCCGCCATTCCCATTACAGACACACCCCTCTGCACAGGTATGTTTGGTATCGTATGTGTCTGCGCAAAGGAGTGACTATATGATGTAGGTGTGAATTAGATGCGGGCTTATCTGTTTGATCGATTTAATTATCGTTCTGATCGGGTTGTAAACGGTATCACAGCAAACAAATTCCGTTTGGCTGTGCGTATGCGGCCGTCATATACGATCGTTCGTGTATTCAATTTCGTTGGTACATCTGCTGGACATCTGCACGCCACACTTATCGAGGTCGTAATAGGTGAACATAACTGAAGAAATAATACTCAATATGCTGCCATTACGCTTCAGGACACCGCCAACGTGCTTAAGACACGGCTACTCGAGAGCGTTACCGAGAAGGACTCGACCACCACCATCCACACCTTATCACTCCTGGTGCGCGTCATCTCGTACCTGCCAGCGCAATCCGTCAAATCAACATGTGAGGCTGTCCTCCGGGTGCTCCAAAGTGGCCAAGCACAGGCTAATCAGGTGAGATGTATTGCATGTGCAAAGGCTCGTATAATGTGTCAGGCTATGCATGTTTGTTATCCGAAGCGATGGGCTGTTGCCAGCGTGTTTAAAAACGTTTGACCATGGTGTTCGGAGTCACTTGTTGTTCGGCCAACAAATAGTGTGGATGTACACGTGCACTTCATACGCAAAATCATGCTCCCTCTGTCTTGTAGTAGTGGGGTGTTTCAATGGGGCAAATTCACCGTTTGAAATTGAAGCCCAAAGTGGTTGTTCACTTTAGAATTGACACTAACCAGCATACCCGGAATTTACATGCAGCTCTGCTTCCAAGCGTTCCAAGCCCTGTTCGCAGCGGGTACAGACTCCACTATCAGCCCTGAACTTGGTCGTCAGCTCGTGCTTGCGCTGTTTGAGTACAAACCTAATGTCAACGATGTGGAGCTCTATTCTTCCTGGTAAGTCCGTCGTTAAATATAGCATAGTCAGTACTGTAGTATCTGTTGTAGTGTAGGTGATGAGCGTTTGAAGACGTGTACAAACTAGTTCAGAATGGTTCATTGAGCTGACTTCCGGTGACCGACCCTGTTGTGGAGGCGGATTCAATGTGAATGTAGGTTGTATACCAACGGGGTGCTATATTCAACGCCAATACATCAGCTGCAGTATGCAGTGGCAAATGCTATGTCCGAGTCAATTCATGCCACGTTCGTGATTTGGAGCTTTACAATGGTTATTAGGTGCTATCCTGTCCGGTATATAAATAGCATCACTCCGATCAGATTGTACACAGTTCGAGTCCACTCATCGGCCAACGTTTGTGATTTCACACTTTATCTGCAGGTTGAATATCCTCACACGTGCTGCCATAGTCATCATGCAGTTGAACGAAGAGATTGGCCTGTCTCTAGTCCCACAAATCAGCACACTTCTCGCTGAGCCGCTCTCGGCCGATAACTCCAGTACCTGGAATATCGCAACGAAGTGTGTCAATGAGCTCATCGCACACGTGTGCAAACCAGCCAAGAATGCCAGCAATGGCGAGGGTGATAGCGTTGATCGCAATGACACAGAGGATATGGATATGAACGTTGATGTGAGTATCAATTCGGCGCGCAGGCACGAGATGGCGCAGATGTTTGCATCGCAACTGAAGGAGATGCTGGGGTTCAAATGCGCTCGAGTGTGGAACCTGGTCTTGGATGTGATCGGCTGCACTTACGAGTCCATGGGCAAGAGTGCGACGCCTGTTATGGACGGAGTATGTTTTCTCGATCGCTTTTCATTGTATTCGCATTGATAGCATGCTACCAATATGTCGCGTACAATCATTGCAGCGCACACGTACGATATGAAGGTGCACCGGCTGTTTTCTGAAGACGACTCATTCGGCAGTCGGGACATTCCGCCTGTCTGCCATATCTCCGTTGTATTTGTTCCGTCCTTAGACTCATATATGTGTTCGTATTCCATCCATGTCTCTCTTCCACCAGGTGTTCAGCGCTGCAGTACAGCTATACGCCACCCCCGAGTTCCACGCCCGCCAATCCATGATGGCGATGGTAGGTAAAGCCTGCAAGGCCATTGGACCAGAGGCGCTGTTTACTGTGCGCCCATTGAATATCGATGCGAGTGTGGCCACGGACGAGTTCCCGTGGGCTTGGCTGCTGGTTGCTATCAATGGCAATGTAGAGCGTACTGAATTGGTATGTTCCAATAGTTGTTTAGATTGTATGCTTTGAGCTTGTGTTGTAGCTGGGCTATCTATAGAATGGAATGTTCGCACTATCTTACGCATTGTCGCCTCATTCTGAGGGGTCATCATCGCCAGCGTCCTTTTCAGCACTTACACTCGACTTCCATATTGCCGTACTACAGTTCCCAGCAGCTGTACAGTTGGTTGAGAATCCATGCTTCTTTAAGTGCATAAGATTTGAAATTTGGTTCTGTGAAAATCAAGCACATATCTCTCTCTTCTTCATGCCACTAACTATATATTGTGGCCCAACAATCACAAGGCGTACTTTGCCACAACAATGCTCCCGCTGGCAACGGACATGGGCGTGATGGCCGAGCAACTGAAGGAGAAGTCGGGACACGCGGAGCAGGCAGCTACCTACCACAAGATCCACCGGCAGATATGGAGTCTGTTCACAGGGTTCTGCACACGTCCAACGGATGTGTGTTCATCGTTCCCGTTGATGGCGCGTACGCTGGGAGAGGTGATCAGACAGAGGCCCGATCTCCGGTAAGCAATTGACTTAGCGCGTACTATTTCGACAGGCGATAGAATGATAGTGGGATAGTATTTGTTGAGTTGGGCTTGTGCTGTGTCGCAGTCTTAGGGTTGTGGCAGTGGATGATACTCTAGTGTTGAGGTGTCGTATGTTAGGTCTGTATGTCACGGATTTTCGCACACTTAACAACGCATATGCTGATTTCTGCTAACGACTTGAGACCTCAATCGCATGCTGTTATTTTTCTTGCTCAATTATTAGCGGACGATTTGCTGCGTTTCCCATCTATTCCTTTGGTCACTGAACGAATATCTTTTGCTAACGTACCCTACCTATTCGTCATTTGCACTCTATCTCACAGAGTACTTGTGTGTGACGGTCTACGTACAATTATCGAGACCACGTGCATGTCAAAAAAGAGCCTGAGAGTGGGTGTTGTAGGACTAGTAGAAGGAGAAGCTGATCCACATGCGACCGACAGAGCTGCCGTGGCCAAGTTTGCGAAGAACTTCTTGCCACTGCTGTTCAATGCATACGCCGAAAGCGCTTCCCAGGAGATGAAGGTATAGTACATTGTAGGCTCCTTGTCATTTTGTCGCTATTTTGCATACAGGTTTAGGCCTTACTTGCTTAATGTGCAAGAAAGTGACCTTGTATTTTGTGGTACTAGACACGAGGCGTGGGAGTTGGAGGAGTTTTACTGCGCTTCTGTACCATATCCGACAGTTACCGTTGAAGGGTTTTAGAATAATTCTTCGTGATTAAATCTCAGCGTGCAGAACAGCGCCCGAATGGTACATCGTTGGTGTATGATTTCTGTGTATAGTGGCCCCATCACGTCACGATGTATCGCACCATGTATGCACACAGTCCGTGGCGGTCATCTGCACCTAGGATTTCTGCCAGCAAGCGGTATATACACATGAATTATTAATGTATACGAGTCATTGTTTCTTGTACCCTTAAACACAGCCATCTACACGTGCTACACGTATCGTTGGTATACTTACACGTATGTCTCACTCGCACAGGCATCCGTTCTCAAGTGTCTGGAGCGATACGCCGCCATCGCCGACCCCCAACTCGTCAATACCTTCTTCGCGAATGTGATGAAGAAGTTGCTGCAGAGCAGCGCCGCCACACCCGATTCTATGGACACCAACAACGACACCACACGACGCACAGTCGAGCAAACCGCACAGATGCACACCATGATGAACCTCGCATTCGCGCTGTTGAACTACCTCAACGCGGACTCGCTGGGTCTGTACTACAAAGTACTGTGTCCGCAGTTGCTGGACAGAGACCCTACGCTACAGAAGCTGTCGTATCAGTCGCTGTGTGCCGTCTGGGACCCCAATGCACCGAAAACGCCGCACCAGGAGTTTGCCGCCGTACACCGTGCCGATTTGAGGTATGTGTGGCGTTTTTGCGCGCTGCAGTTATTGCGAACGTGTTGCACGGCATGAGTGGTACCTTGACTATGGTGATGCGACTACAGCCTATAGTCAAAGAAAGGGTTCTAGTGCGCCTTCGCATACTTAAGTCATACTTAAGTAACTAATAAGTTTTGTTCTCTACTACATTTGATTACACAGGGAAGCTCTTTCGGGATCGTATCTCGCGGTGGCTGGAGCCGCCAAGAAGCAACGTCTGCGCATATTGTCGCTGCTTGTAGACCAAGCATCGCCTGTCATGCACGGCGCATCAGAACTCGAAATCATTCCTGCGGCTGTGACCGAAGCCATCTTGTCCACCAAGGAAGTCAATGAGAAGACCCGTGAACTGGCTTACAGGTTGCTGGTTACCATGGGAACGGCTATGATCCGTGCTGGGGAGGCTCAGGCCACGTTTGTAAACCCTATGGGCGAGCGAGTGCCGGCCAGTCTGGACGAGCTTATACTCATGATAGTGGCTGGTTTGGGCGGAACTACACCACACATGATCAGTGCTTCTGTGATGTCATTGGGGTATGTAAGCGAGCTTATTCATTCGTTGTGCTGGCGACATGCATATAAACAGGCTGTTGTTGGGCTTATATACCTAGACTGTAGTTGGGCCTGCGTGGTCAGATAATGAACCCATCAGAACCGATTTTATACTTTACGTTATTACACGCTGTTACACAACAAGCTGTTCTTTGGAGGTATCCACTCAAGTTGTTTTAGTATCACTAAATCGTGATCTTCATTGCAAACCCACCTTTTTTTTTTGCGACGCATCGATGTTGATATTTATTCTCTTCACACACACCACAGACGACTATTTTTCGAGTTCTCGACCCAACTGGCGCCCGCCAAGCGTGACGAGCTACTGCAAACCATGCTCATGATGCTCAAGACCAAGAACCGTGAGATCGCGAAGTCCATGCTGGCGTTCTTCAAGATCTGCATAGTATGTGTGTCACCCCAGGTGCTGGGCCAATACTTACCAACCCTTCTGGATACACTTATGGGTTGGCCCGATGACCAGAAACAGCACTTCAAGATGAAAATCCGGTTCTTGCTAGAGAGGCTGATTAGAAAATACGGACTGGATGAGATTACAAATATGATGCCTGAGAAGGATAGAAAACTCGTGGCGAATATCCGAAAGAGGAAGGAACAGGTATTTTTTTCTCTATCTATGTGGGTCGTTGAGTACATGCATACCAACTCCGTGTTTAGCACCGCCTGTAAACCACTTGTTAGTTTCGTAGTTGGCATATCTGAATAGAGTATCACGGTCTCGCCCACTCTGCGCGACACCAAAGATTATGCCAGCTACGACACCAGTTGTGATTGCTCGTACTAAGGTTTGTTCGATCGCCTCACTATCAGGATTTGCGCAAACAACGAGAAGAGAAGGATGCCAGGAGGGAATACGCTGAAAGCAAGAACCCCTTGGGCGCACCAGTGGGTGCCGCTAAGACCAAGGCACAGTCCTTCGAAGACATCCTGTACGGAGCCGATAGTGATGATAGCGATGCTGAAGACGATGGCAACGCAAAGACTGCCAAGAAAGAAGCCGAAGGTATGGATAAGCATGCGACAGTTGCTATTGAAAGTGGAATACAAGGGTCAAACAAGAAAACCACAATAGATGAGCATTGCATTTTTGTATTCGTTATATTTAAAACTGTGCACATGTGCAGAAATGCGACCGACACATTTACGGGATGTTATGTCGAACGATAGTTGTGATCATGTATTGCCTGACGATAACTTCTCGCGTACGTTCTTCTCTGTAAGCCGTAGTGCGCATCACTTCCTCCACTGTGCACTTATTGTGGTCGCGACCAGTATGCATACTATACTTCTGAATATGATAGTTCCCATTAGCAATTCCGAGAATTGTATTTACCAATGTCATGCTATGACCCGCTCTATCTGCTGCAGGCGCCACGTGGTTGAAGGGCGACACAGCTGATGGCGAGAGCGAAGATGTGCTGGACTTCTTAGATGCGTCGGCCGTAAACCGAATGGTAACTACCGACCCCGCACGCATGGGCAGACGACAGAAGGCACACTGGAGTGAGTACGATGCCGATGGCAAGATGCTCGTGGAGGATCCCGAGGCTGAGAACGGAGACGAAGAAGATGGTATGTGGATTCTGTGTGCGTTAGTATGGAGAAGTATGTTGGCTTGTTTATGTGTGTGTATCTGAGTCAAACTGTGAGTTCTCTGGTATGGATGCTTCGGACTTATAGTACATCTCTTATGTATATATTGTTGATTTTTCTTGCAGACTAGTCTCTTGCATTGCTAAGAAAAAATCACAAGCCGCACTCAAGGGTTATGTGTTGCAAAAATTCGCTAATATCTCGCTCAGTTTGATAACTAATTTGCCCTATGTTTTTCTCGAAGATCAGAATCATTCCAGCGGAGCATTGTGAATAAACTTCACATTTATGATCCTTGTTTGATTATGGTTGTGTGAAGTCAGATGATTTGTGATCATAGTGGCACGTAGACGTGTACGACATTCTTTCTAATGTCCTTAATTGTAATATACTACAGGCGACAGTGATAACGCGATGGAGATACAAGACACCAAGAGGATCAAGGGACAGAAGCGCAACAGAGATAACACGTTCGACATGAGTGGTGATCAAGATGACGAAGACAAGAAGGATTGGAACCGAAGTAAGCGAGGCGGTGCCAAGCACAACGCTGGCAAGAACGATACCGAGGGTCAGCAATACGGATCAAAGGTAAGGTGGTTTGAGACTTTTGAATATATATCATGATAAGGTACTTGTTTGTTGTTGTTTAGGAAGTCTTTATAGAATTTGCATGCGGCAATTATTGTGTACTCAAATTGATTTGTTTTGGTTTCAACAACAGAAAGCGTCGGGAGATATGCGCAGAAAGGGCAACAAATTCGAGCCTTTCGCATATGTGGCACTTGATAAGAAGAACATTAACAAACGCCACACAAATAAGGCTGCCGGCACTTTCAAGGCTGTTATGAGCAAGAAACACAAACGAAATTAGAAGTTGTGGTTTTATCTGAACACGACAATAATAAAATGATATTTAGCTAGCACTAATGAATATAGAAAGAGAATCCGGTTGATACTTTCGTAGTATTTGCGTTGCCTATTCTTTAACAGAAGCAACCTGCCACATGAGAATATATAACGTCAAAATGTTTAAGTGCGTCTCGAAAACTGAACAGAACGCGAGTGTGGTCAAATACCACCTATCGGAACTCATACGAGGCAAGGAACACCTTCACACGCACAGAAACTAAGTCACCATGACACCGCAAGGCATTACAGTCGTCGGGCACTACAAGAACAGTCCACGAAGTGCATAGCCCTCTAGATTTAGTCTTGAGCGAAAATCAGGTTTCCGTCGCATTTGAATCGTAAATTTAGCGCAGACCCTTATCCAGGGGGCATGCGAATAATAATAAAATTGACCTCGAATGTGCATCATGAGTGTCCACTGCCACGCAACATGGCTGTCCAGGTATAACCTCAAGTCCAACCTGAGAAGCCTTGTGATAATCCTCATTGTGGCGCAATACTCTTTTCACATCAGCTTCGAGGAGAGCTACACTCGCATTGAGTTCTGTGTTGCAAAGTTTATTAATATGCCTTGCCATACATTACTAATAGTAGTGTACATTATCGTTAATGACAGCGCTAATCAGTTGCGATCACTTCTATGCGACAAATAGAGTTGTCCGTCACTTCTTCCTTATTTCATGAAAGGCGTTTAACTGCACGCTACTCGCGGCATAAGATTTGCACTGAGGTACGATACCCGCTTCTACTACGATCGGATAACACTACTTTCAAAATTCCTACTAGCCATCCCACTACTTCACGATACGCACCTCTGCTAAGGGGTTGTATACCCTTCCACAGTTACGTGAGCGGATATCGTCTGTGTCGCAACAAAGTACTCATGGGATAAAAAAGTCAATGTGTGACGTTTCCATTTTCGTCTCGTCCCCGGCCATTGCACCCTTGCTTAACCATAAAGGCCTAATCACAAAAGCTCAATAATCCAAAAACAGTTGCTGCTGCAGGAACTTGGTAAGTAAATTAGTAGCCAGGTCCGTCTATACCGCCGGCGGCAGGAAGGAAGGCGAAGCTCTTAAGCTTGATGCTTTGGGAAGGTAGTGGACTTGCCCGATTCCAACAACAGCCGGATCCTTCTCATACACATACTTGTGCATTGCCTGCCAAACAACGAAATCAATTAAGTATCAGTGTCAGATACAGAGTAGCATGGGTCACACACTTAACAGCACGCGTACATCACATTCATACTATGAGCACGTGTGCACCCATCATGTTCATACGACTAGCACGTATATATTATCACGTTCATACTATAAGTACGTATATACTCCTATGTTTATTTGCACGTGTAAACCACCACGTTCATACTATAAGCACGTATATCCTACCACGTTCATAGCTATAACACGGATATACCATCCCGTACATACCCATTTATACGTGTATACAGCACGACGACACTTACTGGTATAAGTATACAGCATGTACAGCGGCTTAGGAAATAAAACATTCAATACTTTTTACAGATATATGTTGCATATACCTCTTTCGCGCTCTACTATTCGTATGAATCATGCAATTTTATTATTATACAAATATACGTTAAATATACTTAGCTCCTATACGCTCTCCTATTCGCATAAAACATTCAAATATTCTATACAAATATTCTATACTAATATACGTTACATGTACTTACCTCCTTCACGCTCTGGGCAGTTACGGCTCCTATCCGCGCGACAGTCTCTGCAGGAGTCATGCGTCGACCGAGTGACAGCAATTGCCGCCCAATCTCTTCGCTTATGGCAGTGGTGTTCTCCAAGGACATGAGCGTTTGCGTTTTGTACTGCACGAATGTCAAACACGGTGCATTAGTATTATTTAACTAATGTATGCTCATGATTGTATGCCACGACTGCCTACTTTTTGCGAGCATGCGGAACTCAGTTGCCAACATCACCCTGAAGATAGATTTTTAACGTTCGCATACGCGACAGGCTCGTGTAGACGAACGACAATCAAAGTAGCTCTAGCCACAACGACACGATAGAGACATAGCGAATATTGGCATGGTGCTCACTGAAAACAGACGATACCACCAGCTACCATGAAGCTCAGCGGGAAATCATCAAGCACAGCTGCTGCTATGCACTCGACACGGTATACACCTCAGCTAAGCGACTCGTTTGCAGACTGGTTCTCAATAACCGCATCCGTGTCCGTTAGTGTATGTTGCACATGGTTCATACACGTGCGTGCGCGTGTACGACGACGACAGAGCCATAATAGATGGTAAAATATCATATTGCCCCTACAGACAAGAAGGTAGACATAACATTTGTCTTTGTGCCTAGTAAAGTGCTATTGTAAGCTGAGAGGACCCTGAACCACATAATACGCACACAAGCGATGTCCTATGCACCACACACCTTGAGCTTAGCGGCCTCCACCTCCTCTTCCGTCACCTCTTCGCACAGGCGCACAACTTCCCGCTGTACCTCGACCACCGCTTGGGGGAGGGTGTCTCTGTCTGCGGTTATGTACACGCCCCACAGTCCAGTGTCGTTGTAGCAGGTGTGGAAGGCCATGTATGAATGGGCTAGTCCACGAGTGCCCAGGTTCTTCGCGAGTTGGGATGTCACGTTGGCTCCATGGCCGAAGGCTCTGCAAGTTGGGGCGAACGACAGGGCCAAACATGTGAGTTAGGCACGCACGAGAAATCACAGTCGAAGACATATACAGCGCGGCGGAAGCGTTTAAACGTTGAAAGCAGAACTACCAGAACGGATCGTTCATCTGTTTTCGTACTGTGAGCTCGGTGTAGAAGCTTAACGAAATAGAAAGCTCGAACAATCAGGGCGACGATGTACTCCTCCAAGTGCGATAGGACAACACAGCTATGAACTATAATTGTACTTTCAATTACCCACTTTACGTACCTATTCCAATTACCAACGATAGTGGCGGCGATCATAAGTTCGAAAAAGTCGGGATTTGACCACGCAGAACCTGAAACAAAAAATAAAATTTGAGACCGATTCCTGTCACATAAGCAACCAGAGTGCATACGGCGTTCTACGGATGAAATAAAAAGGCCTTCACCGTGGCAATCGAGAGAGTAGCGCATGAGTTCAAGCGACAATATGTGTCGCGCCTACATACTGAGAGAAGTGCAAAGGCGGTCAAGTAACAAGTAGACACCTGAAATACGACAAAAGCTGCTGCGACACGGGAAGGTACTAGAAACGAAAAATCTATATACCTTCGAATCCGATACCAACATGCGCTAGATCTTGCTTGTCATCGATTGTGTGCATGTCCCTACTTAAAAATTTGGGCTTCGTCAATTTCACCACATTGTCGTCCCGGGGGAAAACAGTCAATTGACGTTCAGCTTGTGCAACGATATCAGCATGGTCGACACCTAATGACGGAAGTGCAATATATGAGCAAAAGAAACCTGGTTTGCGATATATTTCACACGAGATAAACAAGACCACATGGTCATCCCTAGGGTTGACTATCCGCTTGTGCGCCATTGGCACGGCTCATCAATAGCGATGGCTAGCGCAAATATACTATAGCTCTCAAATTACGATGACATCAATAGGTCCACCAACTTATAAAGCGCAACGACAATACCATAAAAATAGCCAAAGATCAACTATATTATAGTGTACTTTAAATATGACAGCTGGTGCTACTACCATTCTACCACTCATTCAGGCGATATCTGATGATGATCGTCAGTGGAAATCACACTCATCTCAGCCTTAACGTAATTCAATCATGCAAATTCAACCCGAAACGATTAATTGTAGACCTTGCCCAAATACTGAACACGACTTAATCCAGTGACTATATTACACAAACTTCAAACCCATGTCAAAATAGACATAGAAAAGGTAGCAATATGTAGTCACCCATAAACTAACCATGATCTAGACATTCTCCTAACATAAATAAATACTTATGTAGTAAACAAACCTCCGACAGCCACCAGAGCGATACGGGGTGCAACATAATTCTTGGTGATATAGTCCTTGAGCATTGTGCGAGTGATTGATTGAATGTTCTGTACCGGCCCGAGAATAGTGGCAGCGAGCGGAGAATCGCCGAATGCGGTCTCGTGTAAATGATCGAACACCACTTCCTCCATATTGCTGTTGACCTGAAATAGGAGATATATACACGTGAGTAAACCAGTTTATGTTGATTGATACTAGTCAAACCTTGCCCTTCAGTATATAAATATGATCACGATACCCCCACAGCTAGCAGGGAGTCAGAGATAATGGGGAAACATCAAACATCGTCCAAATGTGTAAGGCGAAATGCTATGCAATGAGCCACACACCTCCTCCATTTCACGCAGAATAACGCTTCGCTCACGTTCAATCTGATTTGGCGGCAGAGTCGACTGCTGCAGAATATCCGCCAGAATATTCATGGCCTTCTCAACATCTTGCTTTTGCACCTGCACGTGTTTGGGTATAAATCGGTTAGTACGTATTGCCCATAGACAGTCGCGTGTGGCTCTGATGTTATCCACCGAGCCCGACGGGTATATATCTATTGTGCCCAATAGCTAGCGCTCGAATCCATACAGACTATCTGTCGGGAACGTGCACGAAGCGCAAGATGCAAGTCACCGAGTACTACGCTATACAACGCGTGTCATCATTTCTGATTTGGCGTCGCACAAAACAATCTTTGCCAACCATCCAGATGCGCACGAGATTCGCATGATAGAACAGTCTTCGGGTGTGTTCACATTAAAGCCTGAACACGCGGATACGAACGCGCACACAATCCACAGTGCAGTACTAGAATCGGGGTGTCACTAAACGGGTGCCGACAATAGGTACCTTGGCGTAGTACACGGTAGTTTCTCTCGATGTGTAGGCGTTCAGGTGTCCGCCCATGTTCTCTATTTCAATCTCCAGACCATTCTGTGTGCGCGAGGAGGTGCCTTTAAACGCCATATGCTCGAGGAAATGAGCCGTGCCATTCGTTTCGGGTGTCTCAAACCGCGAGCCTGCATCGATCCACAAACTCACAGTAACTGTTTCGCCACCGGTGCACTCGGTTGCCACTCTCAAACCTACATTCCAGGAAAATGCGACATTGAGCAAGTTCTGACAGAAAGGTGTATCCGGGTAGGTGAGAAATATATTGAGCGCTATGCTATTTGGGCACAGGATTATGAAAACAAAACTAATACGGATACAATTGTTGATTACACTTGAACGCTTGTGCCGCGGTAGTTCCATTCGTCATCTAGGCGACAATCGATAACCACTGTGTAATGACAAAACTGGTGGCAGGTTGCCAGCTACTATTTTACGACGATGTTGACAACGGTGATAAGTACACATAGTGCGATACCACGGGCCTCAAAGTCATTGGACATGACACAGGAGAAATTCGTACTAATAGGTCTACTGTATTTACAAATAGCTTCAGTATATTTGATCATAATCATACCTACCGCTGGACGTATGGTGGATAAAATACGATTTGAATGTTGCGATACTATATGTTGCGATACTATATGTACATACATAGATGCATACAGACACGAAACAAACACACATACACACCAATATATATATATATATTTATATTCAGAAATACACATATATATTTAAAATTTATGTACATATACATACATATGTATACCAATACATACATATACATAAATAATGATATACGTATACAGTTATTTTATGAATACAAAAACAAACACACGTATATATATATATATATATGTATATATATATATATATATACATATATTCATTTATACGTACATACATATATACCACACATATATGTAAAAATATATAATCATAAGAATAGAATATACATACATATATACATAACTACAAGATATGTAAATTTAAATATATATATATATATATTATACATGTACACGTATACATAACCACCCCACCCAGACACATATCGCACAACATACACACACACACACAATATATATATATATATCATATATATATATATATATATATATATATATATATATATATATATATATATCATATATATATATAAGAATCATACGATATATTTATATGTATATATATATACATATATATACATATACATATATATATATAAAAGAATCCGGCAAAATATCTATATATACAAAAAAAAAGTATATATATTACTATCTATGTTTTACAATGCACGTGAAAGTCTTTCCCTGCACGCTCTGTGTGAAGAATACGATACCTGTACTGATTGTCGTTATTTTAGTTTCGGCCTGATGTTCGATATCCTCGTCGGCTACCAATGCCTCAGTGCTATAGGCATGCTTAGAACTGAGAAGCTGTCCAGTAGCTTTAGCACTGCTCAATAGAGACGCAGGCAACACACTGTGAACATCGACGGTTGTGTTGGCTAGTGTACTCTTGGAACGTTTACTCAGTAGACTGCCGAAAGCGCTGAGCTTCTGATTGCTTTGCGCCGGTATTCTACGGCTGAGCGCAGAGGCGAGGTGACGAAGCATCTTGAATCAGTATAAATCAATATCTAACGCTACTGTGTGATGACCTAGGTTGCGCGAGTCTGTGTAGCTCAGCAGTAGTTACTCGTATACTTTGTACAGTATTTTTTCAAATAGTGAAACGTGAAGCAGTCATGTCCACTCTCTCTTCTTGTACAATGATTTTTGTCCAGTGTTCTATTGTAAGTGTCACGACAATATTCACTCATATGTATTTTTTGTATGAGTCATTCGCTAAGGTTATTTGACCTCATTGCGTTATAGTAATTCAGTGTATGCGTTTAACGGAAACTTACAAAGACCAATTTTTTAAACGATAGAACGTAAGAGAGGGTCTGACCTAGTACAAGAGACTATAATAGGACAATATGAGATTGCTCAAGGGCTTCTCTCTAAAAGTAGTAGCGAGGGTCATGGACAGCTCTAATGTACTGCACCAGTACACCTCTGAATTCAAATATTGCGCCCACAGCGCACAGTCATACAGATCCAAACTAAAGTAAACGTTAGTAGTAAACATATACCGTATTGATTTTATACGTTACAAAGTATCTGAGAGACTCTGAAGGCTACGGTTCCATGCGGATTGTGAATTGTGCTCTTTTTGATATTTTTATTAGAAAAATATATAAAAAGAAGAAAAAAAGGCGCAGCGAGTTGAGCACTAAAACGAAAAATATTTACAATAGAGTAGAATGTCTCGCGCGTGTGTTTTTGTTTATTGTTTGTGTATTCATAATAAAGAAAGCTCTGTGAGAATAAAATACATACAGCTTTTACAGTATTCTACAATATATACAGTAGTATTCGAACTCATCCCTGTTCAGAGAAATTATTACAACAGCAAGCTCCTATAGGGAGTCGTAAGTATATCAACATGTCGTCGAAAGCGGCTGCAAAGGCACTGAAGAAAGCAGAGCGCGCACAGATGAAACTCGCGATGAAGGGGACGAGTCGGTGCTATTTTGATCTCGGGTATGTTCTAAGTGTTTTTCCGCCTGTTCCGGTATAGCAAC